TTCTTTCCTTTTTTTGTTTTTTTGAAAAGAAGTCTCAAGTTTCTTTGTAGCCTCAAAGTCTAGGAGAATATTAAGGATAATGATTGTTGAAGGCGCAGAGTGATGGTGCCAAACTTTAGATCTGATAAGATTGCCTTCATTAAGTAAGACCTCTACTCTTATAGAATTGCTATTTAGGAGTTTGTTGATGATAAGGTACGACTCAACATTAAGGAGAATTTCTGGGGTGTTTGGCCTACCAAACCTCCAAATGGCAAGAAATTTAGAGTTCTTTGGGCCTTCCAAGAAGAGAAATCTTTCTTGCTAGTTGGTTCCCCTTGAGGTTGGAAGAGAATTAGGTAATACTACATTGTCATATTTAATTATACTACCTTCAAAACCTTCAAATTCTAAGTGTCTTCTGCAAATGTAGTACCAAGCACTAGTTCTTTCTAGAGGTTTAAGTTGAAACAGGAAAGTGAACACCTTAATGTTTAAAGGGACATTTAGTAGTTGGCACTTCATGATGAAGGCAATTATGATAGTTGTCAAGTGTAGAGTGAGCTAGGGAAAACCCACACAAAATTCATCACAAACCTGGATAATGAAAGGATGGAGTGGAAACCTTAGCCCACACATAATCTGATCTAAATAGACACACATAGTGGTAGTAGGGGTCTAAAAAGCTGTGTTTCCTAGGGTGATACACTTTGTAGGTTGGTTGTAGTGCAAAGTAATTTGGAACTTTTTTCAGGATTGGCTTTGTTGGTGGTCCAAGAAATTGGGTCAGTTTTGAGGAATCTTTTCTTGGATCCCATGATTTGTTTCTTCTTTGTAGGGAAATCATGAATGAGTGAAATTCCTAACAATGGAGGCCAAGGGATGAATTTTCGTTTTGTTGCCCAAGTGGATCTAGGAGCCACATATAATCCCTTAAGGGTGACTTCGAAATCAAATTGGTTGTCCACTGTGGTTGGTGTGTTGCCAACAATTGTAGAGGTCCAGGGATATTTGAGGCACCCGAAGCCATGGATGAAAGGTATGTAAAGACTCTACATTGCAATGTTCCTAAAAAAGGAATTGAGTTAAAATAATAAATAAATAAAAGTTGAAATGGATGTACAACAAATGTA